AGGTTGGTTCCCTTCAATGTGAACCAACAGGAGTGGATCTTTCCCCTTATTTCTTTTGTTTTTATTTTTGTTAATTTTGTTAATAAGAAAGTATGTAACAAGTGGTATTAGTCAATCATGGCAATGGCTACACCATTGGAGATGACAGAGTCTATGCATGAAGATATAGTGAAAATCAAATCACTTGTTTTAGATATGATCAAGATAAACAACCAGTTCAACAAATTTCAAGATGTGATCACCTTACCGGTCAAAGGAGCAAATGAGAAGTTAATCAGGTACAACACAAAATCAAATCTTGAAAAAGTTAATTTTGTAATAGATGAAGATGGGACAATCAACATGGTCAAGAGTTTAATCAATCAACAACATTTTGAAGGGCTACTTGTTTCAAATTTCCATGAGAAAGGTTCTTTAGTGAGTTTCACATCAATATGCAACCTCTGTGTTGGTGCAAGTCTTAATGCCATTTTCAAAGAGCAAGAAGTTAAACTTTTATTTGTAGAGTTTTTGTTACACAATATTTGGGATCCTAGTGGATAATGATGTATTTTTTCAACCTTGAGAGTAAGCTTGAATTTAAGGGGATAGAAATGCTACGTACTTAAATTTCACAAATAAATATTATATATTTATTTAAGTGCAATTGGTCCATAAATCCAATTCTGAATTTTCTTTGTCCAAAAGTCCACACTCAAAAATATTTTGTCCATAAGGACAAACTCTCAAAAAATGACCAAAATATTCACGTGTATATATATATATATATATATATTATTTCCAAACCAAACCATTAACCTAAACAACAGTCTCTCGCGTTCAATAAAAAATATCGTCTCTCTCTCTGTCACGACCCAACCCCGATACTTGGAGCTGGATTCGCAACTAACTAATTTCTAAAGTTACCAAGGATTAATTTTAGATTAAACAAATTAAATAATGCAACGGAATAAAACAAAACGTGTATATGAATATCTAAAGCGTACATTAGAACTTTTATTTATGTAACATGAGTTAGGTAAAAATTACAAAAAAAAAATAATAAAAGAAAAAAAAAATAAAACACGATGTTCATCTTAAGTCTGGATCCTGATTAATGGGGTAAAACAATACCTCCTTAAGTTTCTTCATCTGAAAGGGGTTTAACAACTATAAGCACATAGCAGAATAAAAAATATTATATTAAGAGCATAAGGGTATACAAATCACTATGGATACTTTATTTAGGCTAAACAATAATAGTTTGGTTTAAATAAATCATTTTAAATGACAGAATCATAATGCATAAATCATATAAGTAAAATAATCATAACCACAGTACAGAACAAAATAGAGAGTCAATGGATTCATAACAGACAGAGGGTCACAAAGTGACTAATTAGATGGCTAATGGTTATTTAAGTCTCCCAAGGCATGAGACATCCGTGGTGGTACTTATAAAATAATTGTTCTAAAACACATTTAACAAACAGTTATATCCATAGGTTTCCATTTTTAAACAAACAGGGCTCATAAAATAAATAACATAGTTGAAATATTAATATAATTTATAAAACATGATTTGCACAAAACAATTCATAAAACAATAAAACAATTTATTGTTACTCAAAGTATAATATAACTCACTTTAATATTGATTCCTACTATTTACTTTAATTTCCTCCGATTCCCTTCGAGGTCCACTCTTTACTTACTATTTTGTTTGCTTTTTAATATTGCTTTGCTATTGCCTTAGCTTTTTATATACATGGTCATGGGTGCTTATTCACCTAAGCTAAGAGCATATATGTACCATTTCATAGGCCCTTAGATTCTCTACGTTGCTAGCTTCATCATTTGCCACCATTTGCTCCAAGATGAGCTTAACTCCTTGGTAGGCAACTCATATAGCTTAACTTAATTCTACTTTGGCCTACATAATCTACTAATTGCATGGTTATGTTTTGGTAAGACCAATGCCTCTTAATTCAAATTAGATTATATTTAGCACATATAACTATATATTATTTTATTTATTTATTTATTTTTCATATTTTTAATTTTTTTTAATTTTAATTTAATTTTTTTTAATTTGATATTAACATAGTGTTAAAATTAATTAAACATTTGGAGTGTCACACACACACACACACACACTCTCTCTCTCTCTCTCCCCCCACACCACCGCCTTTGGTCCTTTTCTCCTCTTGTAGACACAATTCTTAGATCGCTAACCACACAGATCTCAGGTCTGAGCATGGTACTATGTTTCTCCTCAATGCACTATAGCTTATGTACCTCGTCATCACTAAAATGCGCTTGTTGATCTCCAAACCCATCTTGAACCTCATGTTTGTCGTCATCGATCATCATGCATCCTGATCTTGAAATTGGCTAAAGTGGTTGTAACTATACAGATCTATGTATCTATCATGACCCAAACCTGTCCCTAAAAGTTTGGGTCATAATCGACCAGTAAGTCATGGATTACTGAAGGCCTCAAACGAACATACAAAATATTTATGTTAATGGGGCCATAACAGAAGCATACAATAAGAAAGAGTCCATTGAGCTGTGCCAATTATGAGCCAGATCATAGAGATAACCATGTAACACATTAATACATTTAACAGCCCAACAAAAATACAGGAGCCAAAGGAAAAATTGTACATAGTGTTTACTATCCAAGACCATGAAAGAAAAAACAAAATAAGATCAAGGTGTGGTGTGAGTCAAGACAAAACTCCATCTTGGAGGCAAACTCGATTGGGTCTCAAAAAGAATAGCTTCTGAAGCTGACTCTAGGGGTGTGCTCATGTTGCGAATTATTTACATGTACATACATAATATTGGGTAAGCGAAGCTCAATGAGTAATGATATAGTAAACAGCGTAATAATCATAAAATTCTCACAATATCCATAATCGTGTAATCAAAACAACCTCGGGCTCAATTTGCACATATCAAAACAGCCTCAGATCCAACATTTATCAAAACGGCCTCGGGCCTAATTTGCACATATCAAAATGGCCTCGGGCCCAATTGTATATCAAAATGGCCTCGGGCCCAATCATATATCAAAACGGCTTCGGGCCCAATCATATATCAAAATGGCCTCGGGCCTAACATTTATCAAAACGACCTCGAGCCCAATTTGCACATATCAAAACAGCCTCGGGCCCAATCGTATATCAAAACGGCCTCAGGCCCAATCATATATTAAAATGGCCTCGGGCCCAACATTTATCAAAATGGCTTCAGGCCCAATATTTATGTATGTATAGACCCAAGAGGTGATTTGTACGGACTCTAGACATGACTCCCACTGTAGCACTTAGTTCCGTATAACACTTTGTTTCGTACCAGAAATCAATAGGTTTTAAAGACTAAACAATTCATATCATATCATAGCATAAATGAAACAGATAAACGGAACGGCCTTAGGCCTACCATATCATATTACAAACAATTCACATTTCTTGTTCATAACTCATTTCACACTTCTTGGAAACTTGTGCATTTTTAGAAGATTATGTTGTACAAAAATCAAAATATATAATGAAAAACACATCTTTACTATACTATTACTCACAGTGATTTCCAGAAATGGTTGGCCAGTCCTCGAATGATGACCTGCAAACATAATGCGCATGGCACAGCATATCAGAACATATAATTACTCTCTTGATCAAATTTACTTCTCTTAATCTTTTCTTAACCAAATAAACAAATCCCTTACTTTGCTCCTTAACCAATTATTTTTGTTGGTTCTAAACTCATTAGTCCTCAATGGGTCACAATCCGTGTCTAGGAAGATAGGAAGAAACAAAAGGAAACTGGATTAGGAGATGAAATAGCATGAAACAGTTAGAAAGAAAGTAAACAGTTTTCACTAATTTGAACATATTTATTTGTGTATTTAGAATTTGAATGTGAAACTACCACCATTGGAAACTAGACTTCTGAGGCATGAATTTAGGCTTAAGAATCGTCTAAAACGGAGTTCGGATGAGGGCGATATGCCTTTTTGAAGTTACTAGGTATAAGTTGAAACAGGGCTGGCCGCACGTGTGCCCACTTTGACCGCTTGAGCGGTGGCCTTGGCCTCTCGAGTGGTGGGTTAAGAAGAATGAAATTTCCATTTTTTGATCATGTTTTGCTCATGCGGAGCCCGTGGCCGCTCGTACGGTCTGGGCAAAATCAGATTGCCCGAAAATTCATCAAAGATTGAGTTTTCAACCTAATTTCAGGCCAAGATTTCATGTAATCTTCCTTTAAAAGATGAAATACTAACCTTACACAACTGTAATCAAATCTTGCTTAGAGTTCAAAAATCAAAAGCTCATCTTTCATAATCTTAAGAGTTTCAAAACATAACCTCACAAATGCACTTATACATGGAAGATCCTTGCATAAATCTTGTTGTATGGACAATCTAGAGTTCATTTCATACATTATTCGCAAGATTAAACTCCAATCATGCAAAATCAAAACATTCAAGTTCCAATTTCTTTGTTTAGCTCAAATAAACACATAACCCAAAACCCTAACCCAAAGGGGTTTCAAATCTTCAAATCTCTATATGTTTTCAAGTAATAGATGAGCTGTATACAAGAATTCCAAGTAAATTTCCTTACCTTAGCTCAAATCTAGGGTTTGCTCCTTGAATCTCCACCAAATCTCTAGCTTCTCCTCTTCTTCTCTCTCTAACTCACCCTCTAACAAAGCTTTCCCAAAAATGATGAACTCAAGAACTAAAGAGATGTATATAATATAGGCTAATTAAAACATTACGAATCATAATTTTACAAAATTTCACCGTAGGCTCTAAAAATCATGCTAATCACATATATGAAGTCGGCTTTGGCTCTAAGACTTTCAATTTTTAGTTCAAAGTTCTAATTGTAACAAAATTTTCTACATTCAACAGATATAAAATCCGAAATCATATAATTCATATACTTAACTTGCAAATTATATTAAACACATAAACATGTGTATAATTAAGCATAATACGGGTTGGGCTATCACAGTATCATAAATAGAAGTTTTACTGGCCGGTTGTTGTTTATTTCTGTCAACATATCTATTTACCAAGCTTCTTACATCTTTTTACTATCTTTATATCTATACTATATATGTTCATGTTGTTATGTATGCTCGTATATGTGTGTGTGTATTTGTAGAGATATGAGGAGAAGAAGAAGGAAATGACATAGTATTACTAGTCTTTTTCCAAAAACCCTTTTCTCTAAAATCTAACCTCTCTCTGTATATAAGGAGATGAGAGGTCACCTTCCAAGCATTCTACTTGCATTTATCGTTGCATGCATATCTCTCTCTATACTTCTTTTTTTTTTTCTTCAAACGATTTGTTTTTGAATTTTTTTTTTTTTTGATCTTAAAAATCAGGAAAATTACAATATTTCTATTTTTTTCTCTATTTTTTTAAAATCACCGTTGTGTTTTTCTACCTTATTGATCTGTATCTTGGTTTCATGAGTTTTATTCCAATGCTTTTGCATACAAATCTTGTTTTTTTATTCCTTTCAAATTTTTTTATTATTATTTAACTTTTGATCTTTATTATTTTCACAGATCAAATTTGAGATCCAGATCCGTTGATCGGTTTCCATCGTGGGATCCAGATCCATCTAGATCCAGATCATTGCATATCAGATCATCACAGATTTGATTAATATCTCTATATATTTCTGTCTTTCTCTATCTACACAAGAAGAGATCCGTGGAGGTTTTACGTGGAAGTATTAGGGTTTTTTTTTTTGGTTGATCTATGGTGGTGTTTTTGATGTGTTGTCGTCGTTGTTGATGATGATCTGAATAATTTTGTTTTTCTTCTTGTTGATTTCAACAGATGATTTTTTTTTCTTGTAGTTATAATTGTTATTTATTTTTCTATTTTATTTTAATTTTATTTTCTTGCATTTTATGAGCATTCCATATTCCACATCAAAAAATAAACAAATAACTATTATTGAGAATTTGAACATATAAAATTATAGGACCTCTCTATCGATCTATCTATCTATCTATTTAGGGAGATGTTACAATGTACACCCTCAAAAAGGTGCATATAATATGTCTTTCATCACTTTTCCACAAAATTTCATAACTTAAACCCAAAATATCATAACTTTTTCACTACAAAAGTCATAACTTTTTTTCACTGAAAAATGTCATAACAAAATCTCAAAGTGTCATAACAAAAATCACAAAATGTCATAACAAAAATTACAAAATGTCATAATATTATCATTCTTAACTTTAGGGTGTACATCACAAATTCGTTATTTATAACTTTACTACAAAATGTCATAACACACATCACAAACAATCATAACATTCATCATAAAAAATCGTAACTTTTTTACAATGTGTATCATTTGAAAGGGTGCACATTTTAAATTTCTCCATCTATTTATCTATCTTTGTATGTACGAGAATTTGAACAAACAAAGATAACAAAAATTGAACAGATAAAGTTTTTGAAAGGAGAAAAAATTGAACAGATAATAAAATTTTGACATATATTTGAATAGATAAAGGAAAAAATTGAACAGATAGTCAAAAAATTTGATAGCTAGATATAAATTTAAACAGATAGTCAACAATTTTGAATAGATAGATATAAATTAAAACAGATAGTCAAAAAAACTATGGGGTTGTTTGGGATGATTTGTGCAGAACAATGGGCCGAGCTAAACCAACTTAGAATGTGATGTTGGGCTGAGTTAAACCAGCACGAAACGTGGTGTTGAGCCAAGCCAAACTAGCACGAAATGTGGTACTGGGCTGAGTTAACCAATATGGACATGGCGTTAAGCCAAGCTAGGCCTTTGAGGTCTTAGGCATCACCCTGAAAAGAGCCATGTCTGTGCTACAAGAATGGGTCGAACTAGGTGTAGCGTAGGTCAGATAAGAGAACCGACCAAGATGTGCAAGAGGCCGCGGTCTATAGCCGAGATGATGATCAACATGTCGAGACCAATCGGTCTAAGAGTGCAATACCATAGAGGCACTGACCGAGCACAAAGCCGACTTGGAAGCCAGCGTGATTCAGCTCGACACGAAGACATCCTAAGCTTACATTCTGTTGGTGCTGCGAACGATCACTCGGTTGAGGCATTCTACGTGGTCCAATGGCAGAGGAAGAGGAATCTGCTCTGAGCACGCATCAATATTGTTTGGTAGTATTGATGCGTACAAGTGTGAGGAATAGAGAGGATACGTAGTACAGCCATGCATTCAGCAAAGGACGACAGAGGTAGTGCACGTACAATTTGGGACTGCATGGCTAGTCTAGATAAGAGGCACGACCAGACTCTGGATGAGTAAGTAATCTTTAGCAATTCTCTCTCTCTAGTGCTCTATATTCTCTTTTCTTCTCCAAGAAAGCTAACTTGACCGTCATAGGAATTTTCCGGTAAACCACCCGCTGGGTAGCTCACATTTGTTCTATTCACAGTTAAACAAATTTCTTTAGGAGCGAGACGAGCTTGGTAGCAAGATGTATGGAAGAAAAAGGATATTTCTTCCTCGTATAGTATACTTTTTGACTTTTTATGAAAAGATGTATAGAAAAGTAGAGAGGTGATATGACCCAAATAAGTATACTTATCGAAATAAGTGCACTTATATCCATCATGCTAAACAACCATTTCACAAAGGGTGAATCTCTTACTAATAAAAAATATTTGCTGAATCTAATGCCTTAAACCCTCCCTAGGTTAGAATTTTCAACAATTTTATCTTTATTTAATTAGTTATTATAATTTAGTTAGTGGTAGAGTTATATGTTAGGTTGTTTCTTGCTTTCCATGTGTTATAGATTATGTTTGTTACAAGTCTCTTGCATATAAATCATGTTTGTTATAAATAAAATATGCTAAATATATTTATACGTATTAATTTATGTGCAGTTATAAAGGTTTGGTTCTCCTCAATGTGAACCAACAAGAGTTCTTCCCCTCGAAGTGGATATTTTCCCTCTTTTCTTTTGTGGATATTTTTGTTAATTTTTGTTAACAAATTCACAAACCCATCCAAACTCTCTCTCTCTCTTTCTCTCTCTCTCTCTCTCTCTCTCTTATGGAATTTGAAATGTCTCGGGGTGTCTTCGCTGGTTCTCTTGAGCGTACTTGATCGCCACCACAAGAGAATTCGGATTACAGTAATGTTAGGAATCATGAAAAAAATATCATGAAAATGATCATGAAAGATTCTCCACCATTAGATTACCTATACAATGAAACACCACACGTTAACCACACACTAATCAAGGGATGAAAAATCTTCATGATGAATTTCATGATATATTTTTCATGATCCCTAGCATTATTGTTCAGATTATCCTCCATTGCCGCCACTACCACCACCGTCTAGAAATGGTTGCGGCTAACAACGGCCACAGCATCATCGAGTACACACGCGGCCTCGTCGATCAAGCATTGCCTAGCATAAATTTTGGACTCCCTAAATTCCAACTATAAGCTCTTTCTCTTTCTCTATATATAAATATATATACATACGTATTGTAGAAGAGTTCAAGTTTCCGTTTCCTTTTCTTTTCCTTTTTCATTCTTTAGGTTTTTCAGCTTTGATCCACTAATTTCACTCAGCTGAATTCAAATTCTTTGTCGTTATTGAATCAAGTGCTTTTAGGGTTTTTGTTACTGTGCTAACCGGCATTGGCATTGCCCGTGAGCATATATATATATATATATTGTTTATAGATCTTTGGTGGCATTTCTTATTGGTTTTGTATTCTAGATCTCTAATTGAGTATTTACTTCATTGCTTTCCAATGTTGTTTAGAGCTTGTTTCTACTATAATTCTGGCATTTCTGTTTGGTTTGTTTTCTTTGAAATTTTTTCTGTAATCATACCAGAGAAATTTATCATTCACTCTAACGTTTGTCTGTAAAGAGTTGAAATTTATCTATGAAATTTATTTATGTCGAAACTTCTATGCTGAAATTTTTGTGTGTCAAAATTTCTCGGTGAAAATGTTTAGAGCCCCCAAATACTATGAAAATATTGCATATCTTTTATCTTATATAAAAGCTTAATATCAGGGATCTTAAACTAAAAACGCAATAAATAAATGCCCTCTAACTCATATATATCCCTCTGCAATGGAGAATTTATTAGAAAGTTCTCTTTTAAGTACTTGTATTTCAATTAGTTCATAAAATATTTTTATATTCCAATAAGTTCTATTATTTTGGACATTTGATTCACTAAATCCTAATTCTTATATTTACCACTAAATTTTAATTCTCATATCTATGGTATTTTATGAACAATTTTACCCTTACAGATATTTTTTTGAACCCTTAGCAACTTGAAGATATGAATGTTGGACAATCTTCACTGTATTTAAATAGATTAAATTCTGTTGTGTACAAAACAACAACAAGAATAAAAGAAATAGATAAAAGGAGAGAATTTGTTTGATTACAAAAATCAAACTCGAAATAATAATAAATAAATAAAACCACAGATTTTATTTTGTTACAAAAACAAAAAAAAAAACTGATTAAATAAACAAATAAAAACCAGAATAAAATTAAACAACTTACTTGGTTAATTTATTTAAATAACTTTTCTGATCAAGTCCAGTGTTTAACACTGTGTCCTTAAGACAGATTCGTCCTCTCCACGGTGCTTTCAGAATTTGGACGTCTATCTCCCAGGATGAAATGATCTACCACAAACAATAGCAGCACTACTAATTGTTTGCCTTACGAACACACTAAGTGTTTACAATGTCTGGAAAGATCTCTGCTGCCTTTCGTTGACAACTCACTCACCCACTATCCCAGTATATACTTAGTTCATGCTTGGAATAGTTTGACTGTTGAAAACTCTAGATTATTTCTCCTTTGGTCTGCCCCTGTACCAGTTCAACAGCAGCTACGATCGACGGCCCAGCACTACCTTCCCCCTCTCTGGCAATGCTGTTTGCCATGGCTACATCAACCGCCATCTAAAACTCAGGTGATAGCTTAAACTATTCCACCGCAACAGTGCATAGATCCGGGTAAGCAACCCTTTTTGATGCCATCATCTTCTTTAACTCTGCTAACT